AAACCTACAACCAAGATTACTCTACCCAGCAATGATCTCATTCAAATTCGATGGAGAAATTAAAACCTTTACAGACAAGCAAAAGCTAAGAAAATTCAGCACCACCAAACCTGCTTTACAACAAATGCTAAAGGAACTTCTCTAGGCAGGAAACACAAGAGAAGGAAAAGACCTACAATAACAAACCCAAAACAATTAAGAAAATGGTAATAGGAACATACATATTTATAACTACCTTAATTGTAAATGGATTAAATGCACCAACCAAAAGACATAGACTGGCTGAATGGTTACAAAAATAAGACCCGTATATATGCTGTCTACAAGAGACCCACTTCAGACCTAGGTACACATACAGATTGAAAGTGAGGGGATGGAAAAAGATATTCCATGAAAGTGGAAATCAAAAGAAATCTGGAGTAGCAATTCTCATATCAGACAAAATAGACTTTCAAATAAAGACTATTACAAGAGACAAAGAAGAACACTAGAGAATTATCAAGGGATCAATCCAGGAAGAAGATATAACAATTGTAAATATTTATGCATGCAACATAGGAGCACCTCAGTACATAAGGAAAATGCTCACAACCATAAAGGGGTAAATTGACAGTAACATAATAATAATAGGGGATTTTGGCACCCCACTTTCACCAATGGACAGATCAATCAAAATGAAAATAAATAATGAAACACAAGCTTTAAATGATACATTAAACAACATGGACTTAATAGATATTTATAGGACATTCCATCCAAAAACAACAGAATACACTATCTTCTCAAGTGCTCCTGGAACATTCTCCAGGATAGATCATATCTTGAGGCACAAATCAAGCCTTGGTACATTTAAGAAAATTGAAATTGTATCAAGTATCTTTTCTGACCACAATGCTAGGAGACTAGATATCAATTACAGGAAAAGATCTGTAAAAAATACAACCACATGGAGGCTAAACAATACACTACTAAATAACCAAGAGATCACTGAAGAAATCAAAGAGGAAATCAAAAAATACCTAGAAACAAATGACAATGAAAACACAATGACCCAAAACCTGGGATGCAGCAAAAACAGTTCTAAGAGGGAAGTTTATAGCAATACAATCCTATTTCAAGAAACTATCTCAAATAAACAACCTAATCTTACGCCTAAAGCAATTAGAGAAAGAAGAACAAAAAACCTCAAAGTTAGCAGAAGGAAAGAAATCATAAAGATCAGATCAGAAATAAATGAAAAAGAAATGATGAAAATGATAGCAAAAATCAATAAAACTAAAAGGTAGTTCTTTGAGAAGATAAACAAAGTTGATAAACCATTAGCCAGACTCATCAAGAAAAAAAGGGAGAAGACTCAAATCAACAGAATTAGAAATGAAAAAGGAGAAGTAACAACTGACACTGCAGAAATACAAAGGATCATGAGAGATTACTACAAGCAACTCTATGCCAATAAAATGGACAACATGGAAGAAATGAACAAGTTCTTGGAAAAGCACAACCTTCCGAGACTGACTCAGGAAGAAATAGAAAATATTAACAGACCCATCACAAGCACTGCAATTGAAACTGTGATTAAAAATCTTCCAACAAACAAAAGCCCAGGACCAGACAGCTTCACAGGCGAATTCTATCAAACATTTAGAGAAGAGCTAACACGTATCCTTCTCAAACTCTTCCAAACTATAGTAGAGGGAGGAACACTCCCAAACTCATTCTACAAGGCCACAATCACCCTGATACCAAAACCAGACAAAGATGTCACACACACAAAAAAAACTACAGGACAGCATCACTGATGAACATAGATGCAAAATTCCTCAACAAAATATTAGCAAACAGAATGCAACAGCACATTAAAAGGATCATACACCATGATCAAGTGGGGTTTATCCCAGGAATGCAAGGATTCTTCAATATACATAAATCAATCATTGTGATACACCATATTTACAAATTGAAGGAGAAAAATCATATGATCATCTCAATTGATGCAGAAAAAGCTTTTGACAAAATTCAACACCCATTTAAGAAAAAAACTCTCCAGAAAGTAGGCATAGAGGGAACCTACCTCAACATAATAAAGGCCATATATGACAAACCCACAGCTAACATCATTCTCAATGGTGAAAAACTGAAACCATTTCCTCTAAGATCAAGAACAAGACAAGGTTGTCCACTCTCACCACTATTATTCAACATAGTTTTGGAAGTTTTAACCACAGCAATCAGAGAAGAAAAAGAAATAAAAAGAATCCAAATCAGAAAAGAAGAAGTAAAACAGTCACTGTTTGCAGATGACATGATAGTATACATAGAGAATCCTAAAGATGCTACCAGAAAACTACTAGAGCTAATCAATGAATTTGGTAAAGTAGCAGGATACAGAATTAATGCACAGAAATCTCTTGCATTGCTATACACTAATGATGGAAAATCTGAAAGAGAAATTAAGTAAACACTCCCATTTACCATTGCAACAAAATGAATAAAATACCTAGGAATAAATCTACCTAAGGAGACAAAAGACCTGTAAGCAGAAAACTGTAAGACACTGATTAAAGAAATTAAAGGTGATACAAACAGATGGAAAGATATACCATGTTCTTGGATTGGAAGAATCAACATTGTGAAAATGACTATACTACCCAAAGCAATCTACAGATTCAGTGCAATCCCTATCAAACTACTACTGGCATTTTTCACAGAACTAGAACAAAAAATTTCACAATTTGTATGGAAACACAAAAGACCCCCAAAAGCAAAAGCAATCTTGAGAAAGAAAAATGGAGCTGGAGGAATCAGGCGCCTGTTCTTCAGACTATACTACAAAGCTACAGTAATCAAGACAGTACGGTACTGGCACAAAAACAGAAATATAGATCAAAAAACAGGATAGAAAATCCAGAGATAAACCCACGCACCTAGGGTCAACTAATCTATGACAAAGGAGGCAAGGATGTACAATGGAGAAAAGACAGCCTCTTCAATAAGTTGTGCTGGGAAAACTGGACAGCTATATGTAAAAGAATGAAATTAGAACACTCCCTAACACCATACACAAAAATAAACTCAAAATGGATTAAAGACCTAAATGTAAGGCCAGACACTATAAAACTCTTAGAGGAAAACATAGGAAGAACACTATTTGACATAAATCACAGCAAGATCCTTTTTTGACCCACCTCCTAGAGAAATGGAAATAAAAACAAAAAGAAACAAATGGGACCTAAGGAAACTTAAAAGCTTTTGCACAGAAAAGGAAGCCATAAACCAGATGAAAAGACAATCCTCAGAATGGGAGAGAATATTTGCAAACGAAGTAACTGACAAAGGATCAATCTCCAAAATATACAAGCAGCTCATGCAGCTCAATATCAAATAAACAAACAACCCAATCCAAAAATGGGCAGAAGACCTAAATAGACATTTCTCCAAAGAAGATATACAGATTGCCACAAACCCATGAAAGGATGCTCAACATCACTAATCATTAGAGAAATGCAAATCAAAACTACAATGAGGTATCACCTCACACCAGTCAGAATGGCCATCATCAAAAAATCCAGAAACAATAAATGCTGGAGAGGTTGTGGAGAAAAGGGAACCCTCTTGCACTATTGGTGGTAATGTAAATTGGTACAGGCACTATGGAGAACAGTATGGAGGTTCCTTAAAAAACTAAAAATAGAACTACCATATGACCCAGCAATCCCACTACTGGGCATATACCGTGAGAAAACCATAACTCAAAACGTGTCATGTACCACAACGTTCATTGCAGCACTATTTCCAATAGCCAGGACATGGAAGCAACCTAAGTGTCCATCAACAGATGAATGTGTAAAGAAGATGTGGCACATATATACAATGGAATATTACTCAGCCATAAAAGGAAATGAAATTGAATTATTTGTAGTGAGGTGGATGGACCTAGAATCTGTCATACAGGGTGAAGTAAGTCAAAAAGAGAAAGACAATTACCGTACGCTAGCACATATATATGGAATCTAAAGAAAAAATTGTTCTGAAGAACCTAGGGACAGGACAGGACTAAAGACACAGATGTAGAGAATGGACTTGAGGACACGGGGAGGGGAAAGGGTAAGCTGGGACGAAGTGAGAGAGTGGCATTGACATATAGCCACTACCAAATGTAAAATAGATAGCTAGTGGGAAGAAGCCACATAGCACAGGGAGACCAGCTAGGTGCTTTTTGTCCACCTAGAGGGGTGGGATAGGGAGGGTGGGAGGGAGATGCAAGAAGGAGGGGATATGGGGATGTTAGTATAGGTAGAGCTGATTCACTTTGTTATACAGCAGAAACTAACACAGCAATGTAAAGCAATTAAATTCCAATAAAGGTGTTAAAAAAATGAAAAAACAAACCCAGATGGAACCATCTGGGACCAAGATGGCAATGAATCTGACCTCCAACAGATTTCTAGGTCCTTATTTTTTCTCCTCCTAATCTTAAAGAGGACAGAGGAAAGGAGGACATGGAAAGAAAATTTTCTCCTGAAGATGTTAGAAAAAGTACTAAATAAAGTGAGATGTGGGGGTTATCTAGTGATTTAGTTTATCCAGCCTCTCTTTTCTCCAATCCCCAATTGTAAGATAATTTACATTAATACAGGATGCCACAGATTGTGGTAGCGTAAAGCACCATTGAGATTTGGAATCAAACCTCGAGTGTTCATAAATTGGCTCCACCAGTTAAAAGCCCTGTGCCTCTGAGTGAAATCTCGACCTCTCTAGCCTCAATTACCTTCAACAAAAGTTGGGTATATTAACAATGCTGTTTTGATGTATTGTAAAAATTAAATAATTCAGTGTATGTAAAATAGCATGATATCTGGAACATAGGAAATGTTTAACAAGTTAAAACTATTAGTACTTAATATTGATAATGATAATTTTACTTCACGTGGCATTGAGTACAGAGATCTACGGGAATCAGAAAAGAGAGACTTATTTCTTTTTATTCTTCTCTTATCCAGCTTCCTACAAGAAAATAAACACTCGCAACCTTAAGGTCCCAGGGACAGATGAGGTAGAGCTCACCTGCCAGGCTGTAGGCTATCCCCTGGCAGAAGTATCCTGGCCAAATATCAGTGTTCCTACCAACACCAGCCACACCAAGACCTCTGAAGGCCTCTACCAGGTCACTAGTGTTCTGCGCCTAAAGCCACACCCTGGCAGGAATTTCAGCTGTGTGTTCTGGAATGCCAATATGAAGGAACTCACTTCGGCCATCATTGACCAAGGTAAGAGCTGCCTAGCTTACCACTCAGGGTTCAGGCAAGAAATGGATGACACATTCAGAATGAGTAATCTGAGGACAGTGTAATAAAGGGACTACTTATGAAGGTGGGATTAGGATTTAGAGAAAGTACTAAAGGTAGTGCAGGACACCTGGGGCTTCAAAGGTCAGGGAGCAATTACCACCCTGGAGAGGCTACTGGAACCTGGAAGAGGGAGCTGTGGCCTCCGGTACAGGGATGCTGCCACCTGCATCAACTCCAAAGAGCAGAAGCTGATGAATGGATATCACAACCTCGTTCTCCTCCCACCCTCCAGTCTCCTGCTGGTGCTTCCCATTAGCAGAACCCAGGTGGAATTCCACTGACATGTTCATAAAGTCAACCTCTCAGAGCTCAGAACTGAGTGTTGGAGTGGAGAGAATGGATCCAGAGAGGAAACTGAAAACACCCAGCATAAAGGCTCATCATTGTGATTCAGGCACAGTACTACGAGTCAGCAGTATGAATGTTACTTTGCTGGCTTTGCTGCCAGCCAAGTGGTTTTAGGGTTTTCCAGGAATACTGGCCTCTTAAAATAATCATTTAGAGCCTTCACTGGCTATGCTGAATCCCATACTTTAGAATTTCGTGCACCAGCAAAATTTCTGACAGTTTTGGTAGTCGGACAATTCTTTTATCTGCCAAGAACATTCATTTGCCAAATAAGAGAGTTAACATCCAGTATCATGATCATTTCATAAGAGACAGGTCATTTTATCACCAGAGACATAAGTTTCCTATTGTTCCACAAACATCATGGGCTTAACCTCACTCTTTTGGAGGTCAGAAATCTGAAAACGGCTTCACTGGTCTCAAATCAAGGTGTTGACAGGATTGCACAGGCTCTGAGAATTCATTTTCCTGATTTTTCTGCCTTCTGGAGGCCACCTGCACTCCTTGGTTCGTGGACCTTTCCTACAGCCTTCAACACCAGCAATTGCATTACTCAGATCTCTGCCTCTGTCGTCACATCTCTTTCTTTAACTCTCTTGCCTTTTAAGGGCCACCTTTTCCACCTTTTAAGGACCCTGTGATTACATTATATGCCTCCCCGCAATACATACCTCAACCTGATAATTTAGGATAATTTTCACATTTCAAGGTCCTTAATATAATCACATCTGCAAAATCTTTCTGCTGTGTAGGATAACTCATTCACAGGTTTCAGAACATGGACATGTTTGAGGTGAGTCATTATTCTGCTATCATACCAATAAAGGATATTATCTCCAAGTAAAGAACAGCCCCTAGTTATGATAAATTTGACTTTATAGAAGATTTGCTATGTTGTCATTATATTTCACTATTTGCCCTTTACCTTAGTTAGATAAAACAGAGCCTATGATAAGGACTTGTGTGGCATGCAGGTATTTAGGTGATGACCCCAGGGAGCAGAAGTGAGAGGTTTAGGAAATCAAGACAGGAAAGAAGGAAAAGCAAATAGAAGGGTGCATTACCAAAGTTGGTGTGGACAATAGAAGCTTAAGTACTCAAGGACCACCTGAGAAGTGCATAGATCATCTCCTAAGATGTTTACTCAAAGGGCTTCAGGTGGAAGGACTAATCAATCTGCTTTTACCCCCAGTGGTTAACAGTTGTCCCCAGGAGCGTTAACTGCCTTCTACTGTGAGCTATGCATGCATGTGGGCTGAGTGAGCTCCCCACAGCATCTATAGCATCAAAGTCATTCCAGGGCAGAAAGCAATGTATCCACTTGAGGTGAATCACTGACCATGAAGTGAGTCAAGGCCCACCCTGAATTCTACCCAGTCTGTGGCTGAAATCAGGGGTGAAGCTGAGAGGAAATGAGGCAGGACTACAACAGTCTATCCCTTGTGCTGCTCAAATCCCTCCATTCATGCCCTACATTAAGTCCACTGTCTCCGAGGCTTCAGGCAGGGAAGTAGCTACAATCTCTGCACAAGATGCACATACGAGAGTTCATGGAACAAGTTACAGCTTCTGCTGCTGCAACTGATCCCAAGCCGTAAGTGATGTTTGACATTTCTCTCATCCACCATACATTCTAGATTTCCCTCGCTCAACATTTCAGATGGAATAGTTTGTTTGCCTGGAAGATGAAGAGAAATAGAGGTTGGGGGTGACTCAGACTTTCAACCCTGAGAGACATGAGCCCGTAGTCACCTTGCCCTTAGCAGACTGAAGTTGTTGCAATTGCCTTTTCATTGTTATTACTGGGTATGGAAGTAACAAGACTCAGAGAATCAGTGGATCCCTGAGTTCCAGACATAGTCTTCCTTGCCTCCATTATGTAGCAGCATTTGAGTTCTTCCTGGTAATCAAGATTGATTACTCTACCAGTGCAATGATTCTTTTCTTTGCCTGCTGGTCTGACAGTGGGTAGAGCTCAAGCTGACTAGGCATTATCTAGATGCAATAGAACATATCCCTTGGTACAGCATCCTTTGGGAGAAGCACTTGCCACTAGGAAGCTGGACCTTTAAGTGGAGCCTAAATTTGTGGAGATGAGAAGCAAAAATTCTACAAATGGGTCACTGGAAGTAATGATGAAAGGGACCAACCCTCAGCATTGGGGGAGCCCTGGCATAAAAGTAGCACATGGTTGAGGCAAGACTGTCTGGGGGAAGTGAGTTAGAACCTGCACAGAACCATCCATCGTTCAGCCACATTCAGCCATAGCTGAAATCAGGGGTGAGACAGGCAGAATATGAGTTGGGGCACCAGAGATACCTTCCCTGTCTCAAATTAAATTTTATCATGGATTGGCATCAATCCACAGACCAGACTGAGAACTTTGAAGTGACTCAATGCCCATCTCATCATTAATTTCCTAGCATTTCTCTTTTTTACAAGAAAAGAATCCTCCCTGATATAGTTTTCAGAGGCAGCCAGCTCCGTTGTCATCTTCAAACCCCCAATTCCCCGCTTCCCCAGCTATCCACACTTGGCTACCCAATTTCAGCGCTAAAGTTAGCCCAGCTTCTTTCTAACTAAGTGATTATGATGAAGTGAGGAAGTAAGGAGAGGATTCATGCTAAGGATTTAGCAACTTACCATTTTTAGGGCCAACTCTGAGTGAAAATAGTGAATTAGGCAAGTTTGGACCTTTCAATATTCTCTACCTCTTTTTTAAATCACAGCTAAGACCACCAGACTTGTCACCTTATAAAAATTGAGCTATAACTAATTCGTACCAGAGGTCTAGAGTCTTATATATTACAATCCCAGGGGAATTATTTTTTTCCAAGAATTGTTTAGTAAACTCTCCTTTGTTATGTGGAATTTTCTGCCTGGTTAATTTTTGGCCAATACTTTGGATGAAATGTGGTTTTCTAGAATGACACATATAAGGAGCTTTGCTGGGAAACAGGGGCCTGGGTAAGATGAATTTGGAAATAACTGGAATCTAGACTTCACATCACTGAGTACATCAGTATTTTTTTCTTCATGGTAGAGAGGTGGAAGAGCAGACTAACCATTCTTCTGGAAGTCTTGAGGTGGTGAGAAGTTAGGAATGAAGTAAGCTGGCTCTTCTCTCCAAGGGAGCCAACAGAGCTGATGGAATAGTCAACAATCGTGGGAGAGAACTGTGGGGTCTGCATCAGAGGTTGGGAGCTCCTAGGATACCACTCATGAATGCGGCTGGCAGGGGAATGGAGGAATCTTTGTGTAGTCAGAGATTTTCAACCAGTCTCTAGAGATATGTTGAGAATCCTTCCCAGCTCTATATTCATCCTATCCCCTGACATGGATCCTCTGCTCCAGGCAGCTCCCCTTCCTTTCCCTGTACTCTCTGAACCTCTTGTACCTCTCCAATCACCATGACTTCTCTGCTTAGTAGTTTCTTCCACATAAAATATCATTATTCGCCCTCTTCACCAGTTCTCCATGGCAGCTCAGGTAACTCCAGGGTATAAGGCATCTTTCCTTCATCTTGCGTCCTAAAACCTATTGCCTGTACCATTTCTTTGTTTGCCTGTGACTGTACTTGTCTTTTCTCTTTCATTGGTATTTTATTTTCCATGTATTTTAATTGTTCACATGAGTCTTCTTTATGTCCAAACTAAAGCAAAACCTCAGTGCTCTGCCCATATAGTGCTCAATAAATGTCAGATTAATGGGTTGGAGACTTAGTCTTGGATGACCCCAGTCCCATCATCCCAGCTGCTAGTCTGTGTGGACAGCCAGATCAGAGCAGTCAAATGATCCCCTACTTTGTGATACAAACACCAACAAAATAGCAACAAAATAACCAAAGTCACACATTCTCCCACAAAGGCATTCTTGCTTCTGTTTCACAAAGGCATTTTTAAATTGTCTTATGACTGTCCCCTTTTTACTCATTCTCGTAAGTTGAGCAGCTCACAGCTGACTTCTGTGACCCACAACATGCTTCTCCAGAAGTCAATGAATAAAACAAATATAGCAGTGAGAGTCTGGGGTGGGAGGTGCTCCAGTGGCTCTAGAATAGATGACTGAACATCCTAATTTTCAATCAGAAATGAAGGAGCAATGAGACTATTTTCCCTTTGAAACAGGGTTCCTTCCACTAAGGCAGTGTTGCATTTTCATTAGGAAATATAATGAGATTGGAACACAGGAAATAATTATAACAAGACCCTTGTAGGGCTGGCAGAGAAGTTCTCCCAGGAGACTTGGAAGTGACTCTCTGGCAGTGGTCAGGAGCATGGGCTCTGAAGTCAGATGGACTTGAATTTCAAATCCTCTCTCTGCTACCTACTAGCTCTGAGAACATGAACGTATGACTGTGCCACCCTAGAATTCAGCCTCTCATTTGTAGAATGAGGGTAAATAATGGTAGATATCTAATAGGGTTATTGTGGGGATTAAATGAAATATGTTTGTAAAGTCCTTAGCAGTCAGAAAGGATGAAACAGGAAAAAAAGTATGGTACCTTTAGTGAGAGGCATGACTTCCTTATGAGTGCATGAGGCTGTAGATAGGATAAATCCAATGTTTTTCCCATTGCATCATGACATCATTGTTAAGTAGCATGCAATTACTATAAAACAATCTAAAAGAAGATGTATTAGGATGTAGGCTAAGTAACCTCAAAATACAGTGACTCAAATAAAGCAGGAGTATATTTCTCTCTGATGTCACAGTCAGAGATAGAAGGTGGTTCAGAGCAGGGAAGTCACTATATTCCATAAAGTTATTCAATAATCCAGGTTCTTTCCATCTTGTTGCTCTGGCACTCTCCAGGATGTTACCCCTACTGAATTGTCAAAGCTGGGTCACTGCCACATTCATGTTTCAGCCTTCAGAAAGGAAAAGAGACACATTCAGTGTTTGAAGGCCAAGACTCAAAAGACCCATTCTCTAGTCCTGAACTTAGTTCATGTGGCTGGCCACACCTAACTGCAGGGGAGGCTTAGAAATGTAGTCTCAGAGAAGCCATGTGTCCACCTAATCCCTAGCTAGTACTAGAGAAGAAATGGAGAATGGATAAGCAGCAGTCTGCCACAAGGTAACTAATGACAAGGAAGATTGGGCAAGGTAGACTAGATACACAGATGGTCAATTCAGCCCAACAGATCCTTATTGACACCTTTCATGTAGCTGGCGCCTGGCTCTATAGGGGATTCAGAGATGACTTAGAGAAAATCTTTGCACTTCAGATACTTACAATCTAAGCAGACTGATGTCCTGTTGGATGTTCAATGTTAGAAAGTCTTCAGGAATAAGTAGAGTTTGTGTGTGGAAGGAACTATGAGGGAACCTGCCCAGGACAAGGGTTTGCATAAAGGCACTGAAGTAGGGGCCTCTCCTCTTGTGGGGACAGTGAGAACTCCTTGACTTATGGTGCTACATGTAGCAAGTGCGTAATCAGCATTTCCTAGAAGATATTAATTACTATGGGTTATGTATGGTAAGGGAGATTAACTAGACGTATTGTGGTGATCAGTCACAGTATATACAAATATCAAATCATTATGTTGTATACCTGAAACTAATATAATGTTATATGACAATTATACCTCAATTAAAATTTTTATATATGGATTATCCAATGTGTAGATGAACCAGACTTCGTAATGCTTTTTATTTTTCTTAATGTTCACCACAATCTTAGGATAGAGACAAATATCTGTGGGGCCTGAGCTTTGGATCAGACAGATCTAGGTTTGCAATCCTGGCTTCGTCACTTACTTAGCAGTGATGACCTTATAGATAATTTAGCATCTCAGAGCCTTACTTCCTCAACTGTAAAACGAAGGCCTCACATTAAATGATATCTGATCCCTTCTCAGCTAAAACTGTCTGTGATTCTCAGACAGCACTATGATAGGGGAGGGGGAGGGCAGTTGGCAGGACTGAGCCCTTCCTCATGAGCAGTTTTGCCAGGTTTTTCCTGGACCAGGCTGTTACGTTCTTTTTTCTCTTTTGGCCACGCTGCACAGCTTGTGGGATTTTAGCTCCCCAACCAGGAATTGAACCCGGGGCCCTCAGCAGTGAGAGCACACACTCCTAACCACTGGGCCTCCAGGGAATTCCCTGTTATGTTTATTCTTTATGAGTTACTCCATGAGGCAAAATTCAGCCTTTTGGAAAGGGCACAGCTTACCCTGGATACCCTTCCATCTCCCTACAGTGGACGCCCCTTCAGGCCTGCCCTTTGTCAGTATGGGGCCCTCATTCTAACCAGAGCTCTCCTTTACAAGTCTTTCCCCCAACCTCCAAAATTACTCTTCTCATCCACCTCTCTACTAATTCATCTTTTCCTCACTGTCAGACCTTGATTAGCTGAGACAAGGAAAAGGGCTAGTTGTAGTGATTCATGCTAAGGTATGATATTCTAGTTTTTTCAAAAGGATCCTGTTAATCCTGGAGATTGAATAACTGATGGTAAAAATTCTAAGCACCATGAGTGCTTACCAGTGGAGTGAGGAGACATATTCGGACTGAGGGACTATCCTACTGGGAAAAGAGAGATGATGAAGGAGGAGAGAAGGAGAGAGAGAGAGAGAAAGAAGGGAAAGAAAGAAGAAAAAAGGAAGGAAGGAAGGAAAGAAGGGAGGAAGGGAGAAAGAAAGAAGGAAGGAAGAAAGAAAGAAACAAATGAAAGAAAAAGAAGAAAGAAAGAAGGAAGGAAGACATAATATGATAGGTGTATCAGAATGATGAAAAGCATGGGATCTGGAACCAGGCAGCCTGGATTATATCTCAGCTATGTCACTTACTGTATAACTTTGGGAAAGACCTCTGTGCCTCACTTCCTTCATCAGTAAAAGGAGGGTCATAGTAGAGCCTGTCTCATAGGATGGTTGTGAGGAGTAAAAGAGCTAATACATACAACATTCATATACATACAGCATTCATATATATACAGCATTCATATACATACAGCATTCATAGGACAGTACCTGGCATGGAGTAAATGCTCAGTGCAAGTTGGCCATGTTGGTTATAACCCAGTCATTTGGCCAACTTGTTGGTTTACCTCTAAGGTAACATGTAATGGGATTCTGGTGCTTTTCTTTCCTCCAGGTGATCTGGAATCCCCCGAGATCCGTCCATCTTCACTGCTTTATATTTTCATCCTCTCCTTCATCATTGCTTTAATGTTCATAGCCACAATGATAGTCCTAAGAAAACGGCTCTGCCAAAAGTTTTATTCTGGAAAAGGTAAGTGAGTTTCATTCATGGTAACTGAGTGGACTGGGTATCTGCACTGTGAGGCTCTGCTTGGCCTCACTGCCCTACAGCTGCCCAGCTTCAAATTCAGTCCACGCAGGGCTTATGAATTGCTTTGGGCTTTTCCTGATGATTTTTCCCCCAGAAAAAAAATGGCTCCAGTCTTCAGTGAGCTGGAATCTTTACACTGAATATTTTTAAAGGAATGTTTTGTTCCTGTGGCCGAAATTGTTTGCTGTGATCTTTGAGCCAAGAAAATGTCATTAGCCTCGTGAGATCAGTGTTATTTTCGCAATACAGATGAGTATGTGGTCAGAGTTCACTCGTGGGAGGATGCCAGGATCCTTTATGAGGATTCCTTTAGTTCTCATTCCTCCTTTCTCCATTCTGGGTCTGAGCTGGGCTGAGCCCTCCTCCTTCCCACAAGAATCTGAATCTTCTGGTTGGGTAAGGAAAGGAAAAAAGTATGAGGCCATCTGGGGGTAGGGAAAGCACATGATTGGTGGTACCCTGAGGTCTTTCAGCAGCTCCCTCCTCACCCTGTCACATGCTCACCAACCCATTCCTATTCTATTGTGACAGCTGGGACAGAGGATGCCTGTGGCCCTTGAGCCCATGCCAGAATACCTGCAGGCCTATCTGGTGCTTTCTAAAACTATTCCTTTGTCAGCACCCAGTGAGCTCCTCCCAAGATCTAAACATGGCCTATAGAAAAGGAAAATGCATCTGGGAGTAATTCAGTAGGAATTTGGAATGGTCACTATTTGAGAATTGGGGGGCTTTTAGGTGATTGTTATCCTACGTCTACAGTCTAACTTCTATAGTCTCATCTGCCGTGAAATATTGTCATAATTTTTCCTTTGACCTATGTGTGCATTAGCTTGGGTATTAACCACAAAACCCTCTACTATGGAATCCAGCATCCAAGAACTATTGTTAAAAGAAAGAGGGGGGTTGGGGAGGAAGGAAGAAGGGAAGAAGGGAGGGAGGAAAGGAGGAAAAATGGGGTGGGGAGAGAGAGAGAGAGGGGATAGAAGTGGAGGGGAAGGGCAATTCACCATAAAGGAGGAATTACAGGGTCTTGCCCCAAAGAACTTTGACTAAACAGAATCACTTCTGCAAATCTATGACCTCAGAGAGTCATGACAGATGCAGCTCATCAAAATCTTACCTTCTGCATTCTTTCATTACCTCCCTCGTACGTACCTCTCAGAAACAACTTTATAACCAAGGTCCCAGACCTGGGACCTGAGAACCCATTAGTCACCTCAGAAATGAGCAGCAGAGTCTTCTGTCCCTACTCTCTTTGGGAAAATGAAATGGAGCAACATTCCTTAAAGATAGAGCAGAAAAAAGAAATCCTCCCCTTATCTCCCATCCCAATCTCAAGAGTAAGTGAAGCTATCAGTAGCTTCAAGCTGGGTGCAAGTCTCAGGCACCAACTGGAGTGGGAGAGATTTGTTACTAATAAGAGGTAAGTGAATACATTTTCAAATGATTCCTTTTCTGTTTTTAATGAACCAGAGTGAAATCACCGTTGCCTATGTAATAACCCCCCTCTCTAACTCTTGTGCTTTGGGATCTGCTTTCTTGCAAGGGAGTAAACAGATACACGTGTGGAAATGCATCTGCCATGTAGACAAACTCATGTCACAGAAGAAGCTTGAGAAGTTCTGGTACTCTGGATAGAGCTTTAAACCAGTGACAGAAGCTAGGTCTGGACCTGGTGCTCCCACATATTGGTTCTAGGATCTTGTACGAATCACTCAACTTCTTTGAGGTGTTTTTTCCATCTGATGCAGGAAGCAATATGAGAACAACATTTTCCAGCTTATTGATCCAACCTCACTGCCACGACTGTGGTTCAACCTGGACTAGGGCAGAACCCTCCTACTTGTCTCCCTGCACCCACTCCTGCCTCCAATGTGGTCTATTTTCAATTTAGCTAGAACAGGCATTTAAATTCTCAAATCTACCATGTCTTCTCTGCTCACACCTCTTCCATGGCTTCTCACTGCTCGCTGGGTGAAGTCCCAACAAGTCCCTGGTCCTATGACTCACATCTCGGCTTTGTACCCTTGTTTTCCAAGCTCTAGCCATACAGAATTGTCTGGTCCACAGAGGTATCTCATTCTTGCAATTCTGAGTTTTCTCATATAATATTCACTCTTTCTAAAATACTTTCTTTTCTTTGTCCACCTGAGTTGGAGTCATCCTTTGAATCTTAGCTAAGCTGTCACTTCATCAAGCCTTCCCTGATTCTACTCCCACCCCTGACTCTACTCCCTCACGACACCCATTACTTCAAATCCCCTTGTTAGATATTTCCATAGCACCTACTTCTCATTTCAATGCACTCAGCACACATTACATACTTACGGCCTGTTTTAATAGCTTGGAATTGCATCCCTTTTAATTTTCCAAATCCTCAAGTACCCACCTGCCTACCTCAGCAAGAAGTCCAGTGTCTCCCTCTTACAGTATGTACTTCCCCACCTCCCACAGACTGTCAGAAGGCTTGCTTAGCCCCCAGGGTCAGTGCTGCTTCAAAACAGGCAGGAAGGCTACTGGGGAGCTAGGTCAGTTCACCAGAGGGCACTGGTTTTGAGCTGCAGCTGTTTCTACTGCCGTGCAACATCTCTGTTCCCTCTGGGTATCTCTGTCCACCACACAAAGGTACCCTTGCCAGTCCAGATCCCCACACAGACCAGAGTGATGCAGGATGGCAACTCTTCTGGCTCCCCTCACACGTTCTGCCATTGCTCCTAAAGCAAGATTCTCATGGGCTGGTGTGGCAGAAGGGGCTTCCTGCATTAACAGCAGCTGTGCCCAGCCAGCCTCTTCTGCGCTCAGCCTTTGCATTGAGCCTGCGACATCAGTCCTAACTGCCTTATCTTGAGTTCCTCTTGGTGACATTGCTGTCCCAAACTTCTAAATCTATCAGAGTAAAATAAACAGGTCCACCCAGAAGGCTCTTTGGCTCCTAAATAGATTTACCCACCTATGTCTCAGCAACCAGCTCTGCACACCAAGGTGTATAGGGAGGCTGTTGACAGTCCATACAGGGTTCTGTTTACCATCTCCACTTAAGAGGAACCATTCAATAGTTTACGGCTGCAGGGTGACTTGCTGGGTTCCAGAAAAGAAGTTGGCCTTCTATTACAAAAACAATGTCAAGTTCTGCTTCATCTGCTAATCTTTAAATTTCCTGAGTTCAGGGACTGTGTTTCTCTTATTCATCAGTATATGTCCAGTGTCTAAAACATTACCTGGCATATATAGACGTTAAACAAAATTTTAGACATTTAACCTCCCATGTGCAGATATGTATGCTAACCTGCTCTGTACAATGTAGCCATATGTCGTTATTTAAATTAAATAAAAATTCAAGTCCCTGGTCATATTTTAAGTGCTCGCATATTGTAGGTGTTCAATAGCCACATGTGGCTAGTAGCTACTCTGTGGGATAGAGCAGTATTTCCAATTTCTACTGGATTCAATAAATATAATATGATATTTCAATAAATATATATTTCAACAAATATGATCATTAAAAAACAAAACATATTAAAAGAATTTCTATAAAAGTTTCTAAATGTTTATACTTGATTTTTGTATCTATCTCATCATAGACTGTTAACAATCAGTTCACCCACTGGTACCAGCCCATGGACCACATTTTGAGTGGCACTGCCCTAAAAGACTGAGCCAGGACTTTGCAGGGATTTAAACCAAAGGCCAAATATGCTGGCTAATGCTTGCATGAGAACCACAGAGAATGGCAGCACTGACCTCAGGCATTAGAGACCTTCACTCAATCTCCAACATTCAAGGGCAATTTCTATAGGCTAACCATTGGGCTCCTTTCAAATACAAACACTCTTGGAGGAGATTGCCGTGTGGGATAGAAGCCCTCTAAGTCCAGGCCAAGGTCAGGATGGTTATGAGGGAGTTACAAAGAATCTGATGTACAGAGCAAAAGCAGAATTAGGGATGGATTGAGTTCAGGAGCCCAGGCAACTGTAGGACATGGGCATCAAGCCCTGGAAGAAAATCAGAGTGGGAGGGAACATGTGAAATCAGCGGTTGAGAAAGAGATGAAACCAGGGAAACAGTGGTCAGCAGCGTCCCATCATGTGAACTTGCGCTTCTGCCCCAGGAATTACTTTGAACAAGTATGTCATTTATACCTTAGAGTAAATTAATTGATCAGACCATCTGCTCTGTTTAGGGAAGACAGGAAGGAAGTGGTATTCAGGACTAAAGCAGAACAGGGAGAGATAATTTCGGAGACATTTCCTGGGCTGAATACCCAAATTAGCAGCCCCTCAGCCTCTGAGTACCTGGGGGCCAGAGGCAGACAACAGAATGGGAAGTAAGTGGGGGCCTTCTTTCTTCACAATTTTCTCCTAAGAGTATGGTTTTTCGTCGTATTCAGCCTGAGGTCTCAAACCACGGTGGACATTTGGACTTCTATATGTGGATTTATTTGAAGTTACTTTTTGTTCTGCCATTGTTTAGCCTATAAACAGAACTATTTCCTCGTTAATCTTAACCCATCCCTGGATTTTTTCTTTTTCAGGCACAACAAAAAGATATGTCACCACGGTAAGGAGGGAAGTGGACAGAGCTGTAAGTAATCATGATTTTTCTTTTCTTTTTCACCCCCTTTCCTCTCCCAGCGTGAATTAAGAAATAACCTCTATTAATGCACCAAGGGCAACTGAATAGTTTAGGCTCGTGCAGAATCTTCCTGTTAAGTGGCATTTTTAGCCCGTTTTTCTTGCAACCCTGTGTTGTTCCATACCTTTCTTGGAGAACAAGATGGTGTCTTGTATAGCCAAAGAACAACTCTGTAGCCTTTCGTCTGTCTGTATTCCTAAGCACCCCTAGAAAATAAGGCACAGGACATCTGGGCTCACAAAATTAGATGCATGGTTAAATTTAACAGTAAGGAGAAGATATTCTACTGTGGCACAATCAACAGCTGATGTTTTTGCAACAGTTGTTAAGTACACTGTTGGGGGCTGTGTGTCAGGGGCATTGCTGGGGATGTAGAAGTATGTCACGAGGTTGACAGGCATGGAGCTGGACTTTGTGGAAGAGAGAGGATGTGATCTGGAGGTTAGGAGAAGTAGGATTGCTGAAATCATTCAGGCTCATTGGATGAAAAGCTTAGACCCTGGGGAAGTGGTGTGTTGGGGACCAACAGGCCTGGGTCTCATTGTAAAATGGGTATTTCTGGCTTTCTTGGGAAAGCTGCCTTTCCCTGCAATCTAGGGATCACATGGTGTGACACACAAGTTTATGAGTCACCAAAATAATGATAGGCGATTCATAGAAATTTCTAAATAACTATGTATCGGCTAGTCAGAATATTCAGAACTGTTCATTTTCAAATTCTGTTGAATATATCCCCAAAATTCCAGAGGGACCAATTGTGAAAATAACCCTAGAAAACCTTCAGATACCAGGGTCTGTGTCTGGCTTATGCATCAGACATGGCAGCTTAGAAGCACAAAATGAAACTTAAAAGAATGAAATGAAAAGAGGCTCCTGCACCCTCCCTGTCTCCACCACTTCCCTGAAAGCGATTCTTGAAACTACATCCTGTGACTGTACACGCATCCCTGGGCACAGCACCAGGAAAGAATTGCAGCTTAGGCCGGACTGTTACCCTGAGCTTTTCTGAATCAGCAACAAGATTTTCTTGACTCAGAAAACTTTCAGATCAACACTGGCAGGCCTGATAGAAACATTCATTTCTTGAGAAACAAAAATCCTATATTCCTATAAATTGATCTGCTTGGCCTACATGTGAGTTTCCATGGGAGAGGCCCAATATTTGTCTGAATTTCACGAGGTCAGAGTGTATAAGCGACTCCTTCAATGGCTCAGCATAAGGAAGAAAGCATAGTGGAAGTCCTGAGCACAGAGGTAATAAACTCAGGTGCCTACTAGGGCCAGGCAGATGAAATGAGTAAACACTGTCTAGTATAACCTGATAGGGAGTGGGGGAGGGATTTCAACAAATTGGAGAGTATATTCCATGTCAATTTAGCACTAGCCTAACATTGCCTGAGAAGATGGAAATCCATATTTTTATATAAAAACAACCTAATTACTAAATGCTGGCTGAAAGTATTTCAAATACCAAACAAACTAAATAAAATGTGCCCGTAGGCTAATTGAGCCTGTCAATGACCAGTTTTCAAGCTCTTTCCTAGAGAGAAAATATTGTCAGGAAAGAGCCTAGGATCTGAGTAATGAAGGCAGAAACACCTATTTGGAGAACTGAACACTCAAAAGCTTGCTGCCAACCTAAATGTCTATCCTATGGCCTGCCACATAGTCTGCATGTTGCACTGTTATAAAGTGACTTCTTTGGATTAACAGTGTATCACAGTCATTTTTAACCAGTACAGCTCCTTATAAACAGAAAAATTTCAAACCCTCTTTTAATGGTGTCTGAAATTCAAAATAGAGTAACTATCTTGATCAAAAATCAAGTTAAAGAAATGGGACTAATTCCCTCCTCCCCCTGCCTGGCCCCCCGCCCCTCCACAATTATATATAGTCACAGTCTCTACCTTTTAACCTGGAGGAAGGGAGAGTCAGGGAGGTGAGAGAGTGATGCTTCTCCTCTTTCTCCCTCACCCCTCCTTGGCACTTACCTGAGAATATGTGGTACAGTGTAAATAAGTCAGGACCACTTAGATATACATCATAGAAGACACACATAGGAATGTACACGGTACTATTACTTATAATAGCAACAAATTAGAAATAATCAAATATGAATCAATAGGAGAAAAGTTGAATAGGAAGACTAGACAGTAATTAAAATGAAAGCACCAAAACTAGATGTATTTTTGAGATGAATAAATCTGAACAATATAAGTTGGAGAGGAAAGACAGATACAGATAGCATATTACCAATGACAGAGAGTTTAAAAACATGCAAATAGGGCTTCCCTGGTGGCGCAGTGGTTGAGAGTCCACCTGCCGATGCAGGGGACACGGGTTCGTGCCCCGGTCCAGGAAGATCCCGCATTCTGTGGAGCGGCTGGGCCCGTGAGCCATGGCCGCTGAGCCTGCGCGTCCGGAGCCTGTGCTCCGCAACGGGAGAGGCCACAGCAGTGAGAGGCCTGCGTACCGCAAAAAGAAAAAACAAAACAAAAAAAACACATGCAAACAACCCCTAAGTAGTGTTTATGGGAAACAGTCATGTGATATAAAAGTACAAAAATAGTATGGAAGTGATAAACATCAAATTTAACCTCAAACTGGGTAGTGGTTATACAGATGTTCGTTACATTATTCTCTATAATTTATTTTATGCCTGAAATATTTATTTTTATAAAAAAAGAGGTCACAATTAAAATTCAAGACATTTAGATTTAAGTTTTTCTGTGAGCTAGCTACACAACCTTAGGTAAGATCTGCCCCCTCTCTGTGCTTGAGTTTTGTCAACTGTAAATTGAGAAAGTTGGACCAAATCCAGAAGGGCAAACAGGCCTCATGTCAGGTGCAGGGAATGCCTAGAGCAGAGATAAGGATGGTTTGGGAGACTATTTCTAGATGGAAAGTGTGGTGATTGATGAATGAATAATGTCTGCCTTGGGTGTGGGGTGGGAAAAGTCATGGTCCTTGACAATATATTAAAAAAAAAACAATTATGCGTTTGTCTGTATTTCCATTCATCTTTGTCATGTACATACATACATGACATTATTTTGTGTTCTACATGTTTCAGTTGCATTCAGAGTTATTTTCAGATTGATCCAAGTCTTTGTAATCATGTTTAGAGCTGCATAAAATGTAGAACTTGACTGATGATCACTAATGATGAAGTATTAAAGGAACAAATAACTCATTTTTACTTAGCATAATGTTTTATGGTTTTGTCAAGACAAATACCAATGTGTTAGATTTTCAGTAGATGCTTTTTAATTTCCTCCCTAAAAAGTTGTTCATCAGTTATTAACTCTTTATTTAGAATGGATTTAATGCTTTGGATAATATCCCCTGGGAAGAAGAGGGAGCCAGACATGGAGATACTGATTTGAGAAATAGGAAGAGGCTAGGTCTGGGGCCCAGTGTTTGGACAGCCAAGAAAACTTGGTACGTGTTGTTGGGGGTGAGGGGTACTTCAGGCTTCTCCAGAGAAACAGAACACAGAACCGCTAGGAGACCAAAAAGTATGAAATCTGTAGGGCAGGCTGGCAGGCTGGGAACTCAGGTAAGAGCTGAAGGTGCAATGTTTAGTCCCAGATCTATAGGTCAGGCCAGCAGGCTGGGGACTCAGGTAGGATTTCTACATTACAGTATTGAGGCAGAATTCCTTCTTCTCTGAGAAACCTCAGTTGTTGCTCTCAAGGTCTTCAACTGTTTGAATGAGGCTCATCCACATTATGGAAGGTAATCTGCTTTATTTAAAGTCAGTGGACGGTAGGGACTTCCCTGGCGGTCCAAGTGGTTAAAGACTTTGTCTTCCAATGCAGGGGGTGTGGGTTTGATCCCAGGGAGCTAAGGTCCCACATGCCTCAGGGCCAAAAAACCCAAAACATAAAAACAGAAGCAATATTGCAACAAATTCAATAAAGACCTTAAAAATGGTCCACATCAGGGGTTCCCTGGTGGCACAGTGGTTGAGAGTCCGCCTGCCGATGCAGGGGATGTGGGTTCGTGCCCCGGTCCGGGAAGATCCCACATGCCATGGAGCAGCTGGGCCCGTGAGCTGTGGCCGCTGAGCCTGCATGTCCGGAGCCTGTGCTCCACAACGGGAGAGGCCACAACCGTGAGAGGCCCGCGTACCGCAAAAAAAAAAAAAAATTGGTCTACATCAAAAAAATCTTAAAAAAAAAAGAAGTCAGTTGACGGTAAATGTTAATCGCATCTACAAAACACCTTCACAGCAACATGTAGACTAACATTTCACCAAACTGGGCACATTAGTCTAGGCAAATTGACATATAAAATTAACCATCATGGCATCAGGAGTTGAGGGGAACATTTTGCCTGGAATAAGTCAAGTTATCAGACCTCTCAGAGCCTTTAAAAATAGAAGTATGTGGCCATCTATTTTCTGGTCATTGGAGTTGTCCAAATGACCAGGGCTCTGTCTAATACCTGTTCATCCATGTAGCTGCCACCCCAGATTTTCGTGCAGACTAACTATTTAGGGTTTTTTGCATATTTCAGCAGGATTTTTTTCTCAGCTCACTGCCTCTCAACCTTTCAGCAACAAAAGAACATCTGTGGCATCAGACTCTGCCACTTTATGTATTTTGAAATAAAGAATATCTGAGTAGATCTAGAGGGGGAAAGAAAAACAAACTTGTAGTCAAATGTTACTTGATAAAATCAAACTACAGTTTTTGGAAATTACTTCTCAGTAAAATGAAGAGATTACATGAAATAGATTTGACTTATCTAATATCTTGTTTCCTTACCAACTCCCAGTGAGACATTTTAAAATGTACAGATAGCTTTGGAAAGTCCCCTTGAGTGGAGCCGGCACACTCTGTGAGGTCCGATTCCCCCTACACTGTTTTCATCATCATGCCAGTCTCCTGTCTCTAGACTAGATCTAAACTCCTTTGCATGGCTTTTCAGGGCATCCTTCTCCCTCTCCTGTTCCCATGCCAAGCTCATTCCTACCTCTGTGCCTTTGCTCATGTTGTATCTTCTGCCTGGAATGCCCTCCCCATTCCTTCTTGCTGACCCAAATTCAAACTTCTTGCAGGATCTATCTTAATATAGAATAATAATTAGCATTATTATTGTTATAATGCCAGACCACTGTTCTAAACACTTTAGAGGTACTAACATTTAATCCTCACGGTAGCCCTATGAGGTATATACTTCCCCCCGCCATCTCCAATCTTAGAGATGACGAGATACTTGTGCAAGGCCATATGGCTAGTAAATACAAGGTCCAGTAAATGGACCCATGTATCCCAGTCTAGAGCCCACGCCTATACACTACACTGTACTCCCTTTCTTAATCTGTAAGACTCTCTCCCCCAACTCACCCATCTTTTTTTTCCCTCTGCATTGTACACACAGTCTGTACTACTCTTAAGCACATGGTCACAGCATTATTTTCTGGCCGCTTCCAAGTGTACATATTTTATGTCTACTTAGTCAATGCAATGAAGTGAGATATTACTGTTAATGAAAGTATTGGGTATTTGGTGTTTGTTTTATTGTCCATTTGTCAGTACTTCTTTTAGTTTATTCTGTGATAAATTTAAAGAAGGTGACTGATATGGACCAAATTTGGCTCACTAATAAAACATCTTGTTTTAGTTGAGTTTTCCAGCTCAAAAGAGAATAACTTATCATGATTTCTAGAACATCTGTAGTACTTTTAGTAGGCACCTATTAATGAGAATCAACCACAGTTAACACTCTACTATCCTACCTCTTTACCTAGTTTACCTATCTTTTTTTTGTATTAACAAAAAAAAGGTAGGTAAACTATAGCCAGGGGTCAAATACCCTCTTGTTTTTATAAACAAAATTTTTATTGAATTTTTATTGAAACTTAACCATGCTCATTGTTTTCATATTGTCACCCTCCCCCAAATTTCACACCCCTTCCTCTGCTTCTGATGGCAGAGTTGAATAATTGCAACAGAGACCGTATAGCCCATAAAGTTTAAATTTTTTATAATCTGGCCCTTTACAGAAGACGTTTGCTGACCCCTGACCTAGAGGCTCTTCCAGGCTTTGCACCTCCTCCCACCTCGATGTACTTTTCCTGTACTAAGAGACCTAAGGCCACCCCCACTCTTACCTCAGCTTCATGAAGTCTGAAGACAGAGCCCACCGGGAAGTGCTTAGGCCCAGCCAGTTCGGGGCTGTCACTCTCCCACACGCATTCTCTGTCACCCCAACTCTGCCTCACCCCTAAAACTACCCCTGTGGGGACAGTGTTAGGTTCCAGGCTTTCCAGGAGCCATCCTGGGCCCTCACATTCTTACTCAGCATCACCTCGGGAGATGAAGTCTTGGGACTTGTTCTTGCCCTTTCCATTTGTGGAAGTTCTTCTTGCAGCTAACTTTACTCATGTGATGCTGTTCAGGCCCATGGCTTCTTGCTATTATGCAGGCAACCAAGCTGTCAAGCAGTATAACTTGAGGAGTGGATTCTGATACCATAGATATGTATCATGCTTCCTTTAAAAAAAAAAAAAGAGTTATTCTAGTCATCAAACCATGCTTTCTTAGAGCTTCCAGACCATGTAGCCTGACTTCTCCACTTTAGAGATGGTGAGACTGGGGCTAAGGGATGTTAAGTGACTTTCTTGATGAAATAATGACAAAAAATAAATAAATAAAAGATCTTATGATCCCCAGTATAACACTATTTATTCATTCATTCGCTCTAAAACATGTACTGTGTCTGCTATTTGAAAGACTCTGTGTCTGGTAGGCCATGTGAGAATTATAAGGATGAATTAAGCACATGAGTCATCCAAGAGTCTTACAATGAAGTATTGGAGATGATGTACTCAAAACCCTGTTCTCATTGCTATAGTTTGGTTAAAATTAAAATAAAAGAGGCCAGCTTTCTATATATCCTCTAGTAATTGATCCAATCTCTACATTTTGTTTTATTTTGTTTTTTTACTTGAGTCTCTTGTCTTCCCCCTAAGAACTTCCACCTGAGAACTGACCACAACCTTGGCGTTCCATCATGGCACCATGGATGTGTCTCCTTTCCCCCTTCCTACTCCAGTGGTTCCCAATCTTTTTTTATAAGCCTTTAAAAAGGAGATATTAGAAAGAAAACCTATATATACTGAGTAGGAAAAGTTTGAGTCGTCTTCCTATGTTCCTCCTTTACTCTCACACTACTATCACACTCAAACACATCTGACACCAGATGTGTGGAGGTTTTCCCCACACCAAGCAATTCTCTGCCTCACCAGGTGAGTGTCCTACAATTTAACTCAATTCTAACACTATCTACCTGGCGATGTGAGTGTGCTACAATTTAACTCAATTCTAACACTATCTACATGGCGATAGCATGAGATCCCACAGGTTAAGGGCTCAGTCCCACAAGACTGCTCCCACCCTACTTCAGATGCCAATCATGAATTCAGGTTGTCACCTGTACTTCTGACCAATCAGCTATAAATCTGAGATTCTCATGCCCTTCTCCTTGGGTTCAACTAATTTGCTAGAGCCATTCACAGAGCTCAGGAAAATAGTATACTTAGGTTTACCAGTTCATTACAAAAGGATATGATAATGCATACAGATGAACATCCAGGTGGAAGAAATGTGTAGGGCAAATTGCTTGGGAAGGGGCACACACGGCTTCCATGCTCTCTCCATGTGCCACTCTCCCAGCCCCTCCACATGTTCACCAATCCAGAAACTCTTCAAAACCCTTCCTTTGGGGATTTTTAATGGCATGATGAATCATTAACTCCGTTTTTAGCCCCTCTCCCCTCTCTGCAGAATAGGGGGTGGCGCTGAAAATTCCAAACTTCTAATTATGGCTTGGTCTTTCTGGTGACCAGCACCCATCCAGCAGCCCACCAAGAGTCACCTCACTAGACCAAAAGACACTGCTACCACCCAGGAAAGTCCAAGGGATTTAGGAGGTCTGTATCAGGAACCAGGACCAAATATTAGAAGAAAAGATGCTCTTAGTGCTCTTACCACTTAGGAAATTACAAAGGTTTTAGGAACTCTGTGCCAGGAATTGGGGGCCGAGACCAATATATATATTTTCTATTATCTTACAAAAGTAGATTAAAACAGTGGCAGAATTGGGATAGAGGATATAAAGACCCTTCCATAGGTCCCTGCAAAGACTTCCAAGGTACCTCGTGCTTCTTGGAACATATTTGGAAAATCATGTAATAGAAGTGATCTTCTATGATCACTTTATTCTGAAGCCCACCTTATTTATCTGGCCACAGAATCCCCAGAAATGCCCACCCCACATCATGCTTCCTTTCCACACAGAGCACAGCTGTCCCAGGGAGGGAGAAGGGGCTGGGGGCATCAGGAATGGCCTCACTCACCAGTGCTCATAGATTTTTACTGGTGTGAGAAGTCTCTGTGTTTTTTATGGTTCTCTATGACTTACAAGAGGTACACATAATGCACAAAAGTTCAGAGATGGGGGGAAGAATATCACTTTGGGCTGGGGATAATCAGGGAGGAGGAAAAGTTTCATGGAGGAGGTGACATTTGAGCCAGGCAGAAACAGAAATAGCAGACTATTCTAGATAGAGGGGACACGGGAGGGAAGGCAGAGAGACCGGAAGACGTGAGGCATCTGAAGGAGAAGGCATGTGATCCTCATTTGGCAAGAGCCAGGTATGGGATAAGGGGAAAGATTGTTGGGGGCCATATCGTGAGTCATGAATTCTGGGCAAAGGAGATTATATTTTACTCACCAGGCGTGGGTGCCTTGGTCAGGTCTCAGCAGGAGACAGAGGGCACATACAGGGGGGTAACTGAAGCAAGTTTACAAGTTTTTACTCTTTACAAAGACATGAGCAGGATGAGGGGAAACCAGTGAGGGATATTAGGCATCCTGAGACTAAAAGAGCAGGGACCAGTGACTGAGCCTCAGCCTGAAGGGGAAAGGGGAGGGAGCAGTTACCAGAACACTGGTGAAAACAGCAACAGGAAAGGGCTGCCCCCTGGAGCTGTGGGCTTTAACGGAGGAATAAAACTGACCTGCAAACTGTCCAGAAGGTGGCTGAGGAAGAGATACTCCAACCTCACCCTCCTATCACCGATGCAATCTCCTTTCTCCCCTGAACTGAAGGAATGGAAACCAGAGGGAAGAAAGGCCAGTGATTCAATCCTGGGGTATGAACAGGACAGAGCAGGGTGGAGAGAGCATCTACATGAACAAACAGGAATATCTGGCACAATCGGAATTCTAAAAGGTCTGAATAGGGAAGCCCCAAGAACTTTGCTCCAGTATTGCTGAGCTGACTACAGGCCAGAGTACGGAGGAGAGAAGCCTCTTGCCACAGGTCTGGAGAGAAAGGCTGAAGATTTGGACTAGGGCAATGATCGAGGGGGTGGAAAGAAAGATTTAAGCCATGCTGCCTTTTGAGCGTTTTTTTCTAACTCCAGTTTTCTCACTCCAATCTGATTTTGAGAGGTTATGTATTTTCTAGTCAGAAAAACGATTTTCCTATTTGTGGACTTTTCTCCCCAGATTTGAATCTGTGGCCTGATGAGCTGGAGTGACCTGATGGGACATCCTCAAGAAACTTCTAGACTCTGAACAAGAATCCCTTGGCCTGCAGAGCTTGTTGTGTGCACTTTTCAAATGCCTTTGTGTGAGCCAGCACTTTAATCTGGAGACTGCAGCAAGACTAGGCAGCACCTGCCAAGGTGTACTTACAGAAGTCAGGCAGCCACCCCTCCACTGATCCGGGCTCTTACTCCTGCAGCCCGTGGCTCCAATCACACACTACTGCAGTTTAGAAAAAGACCACACCGGATGCTGGACCCCAGTGAGTGTCCTCAGGCTCTTTGTTGCTTCTGGACGGGAAACAAAAGGAATTATTTCCCCCTAAGTTTCCAAAGTGATTTCCAGAAGCAGAGACCAGTGGAAATTTCCAGTTACAGAAGTGGACAGATTGCCAGTAGAGATACTTTTATCTGTAGTTTCCTCTGGTTACTGGACAAGCCTATTGAGACTGTGAGCTCACAGACAGGGCTTTATACAAAGTCAAGCCATAATTGACATGTTTTATGACTTACAGGAATCTTGAAAGCATCTGAGTTGTTCTAATGAAGTATTTAAGCATTTAAGTACACAGAGTGGCCAACTACAAATTGTGGAAAAAAGCCATTGAGTATTATTTGTGAGGTCTGAATCACAAAGCATTGGTTTTAACCTGTAATGGCACCATATTGAATAGTGCTTTTTTTTTTTTTAATTACATCCTTCCTTCAAAAAATTCTGTCTCCTTAACCTCAGAAGCCAATGATACACATTTTAAATTTTGGCATGCTAATATGCTACTTCTGCAAAGATTTCAGATGAGTAGCCATGATGATCAAAGCTCCAGACTAAGTCTCCTTTCCTAGCCCTCTATATGACTTTAAACTTAACCTTTCAGTGGCTCAGTTTCTAGGTCTGTGATACGGTGATACTCACAAGCTGAGGCCTTTGATGTCAACACTAGAAATCCTGTGAGATCCCATTATGGGTGTGTCAAGGAGGAGGGTAACTGGACATGGTGACATCGGGCTAATCATGTTAAATTTGGTCTTTGTGCTGGGACCACAAAGCTCAGGACATTAATTGACCCCTAAACTATCCAAATGTAAACATTATCAAGCATAACAGATGGATGAGTGGGCCTGAAGCAAACTCTTTAACTGGTGTACAGACTAATTTTAGGTTTATGGGAATGAAGTGGTGTGAAAGTGAGTAACACACAAATAATATAACATCTCAGTTTCTTCTATAGACATCAAAGAATGCCGTTGAAGAATAAAACTCAATTGTTTATTCTTCAGCGTGTTCTGATGTCCTACTTTTGGCTAAGTGATTTCCTCAGGGCCCATCCAGGTCAGTAGGTTTAATGTTCCTTCAGGCCAGTTGGCTCCCATAGGTTTAAAAGCCTTTGAGGCACACTCGGATGCCCTCTTCAGAAGGGCAGGGTCCCATGGTTTGGTCTGGGGTCCCTGCTGGAGAAGCAGCACCTCCTAAGGCTGCAGAGATCAGAGCAGGCAGGCAAGGCCTTCTCCCTGAAGAAGCAAGTCTCTCCATCCTGGGCCCCACCTCCCCACAGATGTGTGGCTGGCATGCTGCATCCTTGGGTGGTAATATTTAACTCTATTAGGAACCCGGTGGCATAATGATTTCTGTCAAAATACCACCATCTTTAGTCCTAGATTGGGGCTATTTTCTAAAATACCAAATAGGGACAGGGCTGCCTACCTCCAATACCCCAAAATTCAGCGTTCTTTGGGGAAGAAGACCATTAGGCATTGTGTCCTAGCAGGAGGAACGTTCTACACTACAGCCTACAGTCATAATGTCTAACATTTACCAAGTACTTACTACATGCCCGATATTGTTTAGCGTTCTATACATGTCATTGGAATGCGTTCTCTCAAAACCCTCTGAAAAAGGCACTATTTATGTCTCCATTTTAAAGATAAGGAAACTGAGGCACAGAGAAGAAATTTGGTTAAGGCTGCCTGTTTAGTTTGGAAGGGATAGAGCTAGGGCAGTGAAACCATATTCATTATACCCCACCATGTGTCCTGATTTCCTACCCGATGGGACTTTAAGGTGGGATTTTACTGGTTACATACACCATGTGGTCTTTTTTTGCTGGCCTAGGATTAATTTCACTCTTACTTTTTCCAAAGAGGCACTACAGGAGGGTGGGTGGAGAAGAGGCTCTGACATGAGAGATTCCAACTCCGACTCAACTATATATGAATCATACAACTTTGCATGTATCATTTGATCTCTCTAACCATCCGTTTCCTTATCTAAAAGATGAATACAGTCGTCCCTTGGTATCTGCAGGGGATTGGCTCCAGGACCCCCTCAGATACCAAGTCTGTGGATGTTCAAGTCCCTTATATAAAATAGTGCTGTATTTTTGTATAACCTATGCACATCCTCCCACATATTTTAAATCATCTCCAGATTACTTATAATACCCAATGAATGTAAATGCTTAAGTGAATAGCTGTAAATACAAAGTAAATGCTATGTAATAGTTGCTGGTACATGGCAAATTCAAGTTATGCTTTTTGGAACTTCCTTCAATTTTTTTTTCTAATATTTTCAGTCCTCAGTTGGTTGACTTCCTAGATGTGGAACCTGTGGATATGAGGGGCCAGCTGTAATATAAGAAAGGTTGTTAACATCTTCCTTTATCAGGCACTTAGCTTATACAGCACATGGTAAATACCTGTTAAATAACAAGTATCATTGGTAATCCCTGATGTACCAGCCACTATTTCTTGCCAAACAGGCAGTGTCGTGACACTATTAAGCTAATCTGTCTGCAGGATATTTCTCCTGAATCCTAGCCCTAAGGGAGAAGTGAGTTATGCTCCAAGGATTTCCAGCCAAGGGGTTTTTTGTCCCCAGGCTCTTCTGTACGTGCCGAATTCTCCAGCTAAGTCAGAGGGCTCACCAGTTCTCCAGTATGCCTTGTGCTGTCCCCTTCACCTGGAACATCTCCTTTCTGGGACCTCAATTCTCCCTTGCAAAACCCTATGTGTCCGTCAGATGCCAGCTCTGCCAGTAAATATTTTCTGTTTTTCTCCAGTTGAATATGAGCTCTCTTTACTCTGGGCAGAGCAGTGTTTTCTTTGTCCCTCTCTAAAGCAGTTATCTTTTTCAGTTTTGAATCATGAGGATTTGAGCACATTTTATATCTTCCCCTTAGACTATAAGCTGCTGGAGGACAAGGAGAGAGTGAGATTTTGTCATTCCTGCAGCATCTTTTATGTGATAGATGCCTCATGCATGATTGGCTCTGAGACTCATTATAATATTAGAGAAAATGGCTACACTTAACATTCTTACTTATTATGACCTTACTATGATTGGCTGAAAAGTATATTATGGCAATCCTCAAAACAAAAGAGCTAGATGAGTTCTAAGTCTTTTTTTGAAAAAGTACCTTCTACAAAGAAAGCAAAAATAGCATTTGGGAGAGTTTGAGGAATTGAGAAAGATCAAACAAACAAAAATCACCTATGATCTCATCATCCAAGCACAAGTATTTTCATTTTTGTTGTTGGCATTTGCTCTTTGTCCAGACATGTACATAATTTTGGCTATTGTTGTTAGCATGTCATTTTCTGTCCTTTTTTTCAAATTTGTCGCTGTGTATAAGTTCACAGCTATGTGGCTGACTAGTCTTCCTAATTATTTTTAATGGCTGCATGGCTTACAGATCCATGATGAACTGGAACTGGGCCCAAACTCCGCTTATCACCTGATCACTCTAAACCCCTATTTTGACCACTGGACCACAGTGGTATTTGGGATTCCTAAGAATTAGTGTCATTTCAGAGCAGTGTTTTGGAATTCCTGAAAAGTTTGGGTATTTCCATTTCCCCCAGTGCACAGACCCCTTAGTAAATGATTTTACATTCCTTTGGGGATGGCTTGGAGGAGGATCTATGCCAATTATTTGCGACATTGTTGCACAGTCCTTTCTTAAGGGGTCCAATTCTCCTCTTCATCCAGGAGCTTCAGATCTGGCCATCATGAGGTTAATTGTTTATCATTATAGATAACTTTCAAGCCATGTGCCAGACATTGTTCTATTTGCTTTACACGTATCACCTCATTTAAACTTCACAATTCAATGAAATAGAGACAATTAATGTCTCTATTTTACCCGCAAGCAAACTAAAGCCCAGTGAAATTAAACAAATTGCTCATGTCACATAGCAGAGCAAGATCTTAAAGATTCTGCAAGCCAGCCATGGTCCTAGACCTGTAACACAGTCAAGCTCTCATCGTGTGGTATTTTGTAATTACATATGTGTTTGGTTTTCTCCAAAAGCCTGCATTGTACCTAGGAACAGGAACTGGATTTTTATTCATTTATGTAGTCCCAGAACCCAATACAATAATTGGCACATAGAAGATACTTGACAAATACTGTGGAATTGAATTGAAGGCAAATGCATGGAGTCTAGGAAAGAGAGGCCAATGTGGAAAAGTGTGATGGTGAATCCAAGCACATCCAGCACATCCACACATGCATTGCTACCACCTGTCTGATCTATCCCTCCAGTGGTGATGGATGCATCCAATTCACATAGCTTGATGACATCAGCCATTACAATCATCCCAGCCACCGTCCCCCCTTCCTACCCCATCCTGATTCTCTGGTTACTGAGCAAACTGATTATAATTTGACTTTTCATATAGATTCTGTATGGGAATAGAATGTTCTGAAGCAATTTCTGATCTGCACATTAATAGTATTTCTTATTATAGAAAAGTCCTAGGAATTTGGTTAGCATGATCCAGTTTTTTAGTCTGATTCTGAGTGTCCTGACAAAATCAGTTTTCTGGACCTTTAAGGTAAGACCTTGGTGATGCCAATAAGAAATTTTTTTCTGTAAGGATGCTTATGCTGGTCATCAGCTGCATCTTGTCTATAACTGTGTATTCTCAAAAGCAGGCTCCACGTAGGAGAAGAAACTCAAAGACAGCAGCATGTTTTCTGCTCATTTCTGTTTGTTCTATAAAAATAGAATTCCATTTTAAAGCAGAACAGCTGCAAGAAGTACAGAGGAAGCAACTAATGCCTGAAATTTTGTGTTGTGCAGATTGAAGTGGAATATAATCAGGCTGCTGGTCAAATCAGGCAACATGCCAGTGTCTCAGTTCTCCTTGCTTTAAAATTCAAAAAATGAAAGGCTCAAACTTACAGGTCATTTAAAATTTAAATCAAAGCAAAACTTAAGTGGGCCTTTTAAATCATTACATTGGCAAAAGCTTTTTAAATTTATAACGCATAATGCTCCAGAACACGTTAAATTCATAGTCTCATAAGTTGTTAGTGGTCATATAAATCAGTACAATTGTTTTTGGAAGGTTATTTGTCTATAGAACAGAGGTCTTACAGTTTGTCATACCATTTGTTCGAGGAATTCTACAGTATGTAAATCTACTCTAATCTGAGAAAATAGCCAAAAAATATAGAAAAAGTTATAGACGTGGAGAGGTTCATTGTAAATATAAATATATATTTTTTAAAAGCTTTGCCATAACACTGAAAGAAAAAAGAAACATACAAAATTCTATACTTGCTTAGATTACTCTTAAGTTTTAAAAAAATGAACTCAAAAAAAAAAGTGCTTGGATATATAGCAAGAATCATGTCAAGATTCATACTTTTACCCAAAAATACCATTCCAAGGATTTTCTTAAAGGAAATCCATAGACTAAAGTGAAATAGGTATTATATGAAAAAGTACATTACAGTGTTATCTATGGCCCCAAACTGGAACTAATCTGTCAAACAAAACAGAAGTGAATTAGTCATAGTGATTGGTATTTGCATTACAGACTAAATAGTAATCTAGTCATAAAAATGACAGTTATAAAGATTATATAAGAATATGAAATAATTATATATATATATATATTTTGGTACGCGGACCTCTCACTGTTGTGGCCTCTCCTGTTGCGGAGCACAGGCTCTGGACGCGCAGGCTCAGCGGCCATGGCTTACAGGCCTAGCCGCTCCGCGGCATGTGGGATCTTTCCGGACCAGGGCACGAACCCGTGTCCTCTGCGTCGGCAGGCGGACTCTCAACCACTGCACCACCAGGGAAGCCCATATGATATAATTTTAAGTAGAAAAATAGTTTCTATACAGTGAGCACTTACCATGAGCCTGTCACTATGTTGCTCATTTTATACACATTATCTCTTTTCGTGCTGACAGAACCTGAAGAGTAGGTAGAGTGCTATCCTCAGCGACAGAAGAAAATTGAGACAAAGTTGCTTAGTAATTTTCCCTAGTTCACAGAGTTCATACAGCAGGTATTCAAACCTAAGCTAACTGATATCAAAGCCATTTCTCCTTATCCAACATGCTATAAAAGCCCTAGACACCTGAAGATAATAAGCAAACGTTAATATAAAATATATATGGAGAGAGAGAGAAAAAAATCAGAGTGGAGCAATAGTGTGGGTGGTCTTATCATAACTGGTTCCTTTCTATTACAATGTTAAGTCCACACAAACAAACAAAAAAGTAAATAAATAAAATTTTAAAAGTGAGAATGATACAAAAGGCTGGAAAGAAGTATACTAAAGTATTAATAGGGTTTTGTTAAAGAGGTAGGGTTTGGTGTAATTTCCCCCTTTTCTCTATTTTACAAGATTTTTTGGTAATGTATAGTACTTTTGTAAAATATTTTAAGTGCTCACTTCAGCAGCACATATGCTAAAATTGGAAAGATTCAGAGAAGGTTAGCATGGCCCCTGCACATGGATGACACACAATTTCATGAAACATTTCATATATAGATCGATATCAATATATATCGATATATATCTATATGTCCTCTGTGATATGGAATCCAGAGCTCTGTAAAGCTTATTGATCATTGAAACACTGTGATGTTCAGAAACAGCAGTGGTATTCCCGGCAGTATAAGTGTTATTAGGAATACAGTATATCTGTCATTCCTTTCAAAAATTCTGTGGGTTAATTTCCACAGAATCCTTTTTTATTTTTAAAGGTTTGAGAAGAAAATCTAAAAGCTCATGTTCCTTCCTTCTTTTTCTTCCTTCCTCACCTTTGCTTTCTTCACTGTAAAATTAGTATGGTGATAACAGTAACCTGCTCTGTTGATGTGATGAGTATATGGGCAATTTTTATTTTCATTATATTCTTCCTGTGTTTGAAAGGTTTTGAAAAACATATTTAACAATTTTAACCTAAAAAATAATCTTTAAACTTAATTTTTTAATTATTAAATTTAAATTAAATTCAAAAGATTTTTTAATATTTTGAAATTTTAGAAATTCAGTGTTTATTGAAAATCAAAATGTGGCACAAATACCAAGTATAACGGTGTTTTGGGAAAAATTCTTATATGCGCTACTCGTGTTTTTCCTCTTTCTGGTACATGCTTTCACCTGTGTTTTAAAGAGACTCTAAAGAGAAACTAAAAGGAAAGTTTACTAAGTGAAAGTTTGAGCAGGTTCTGGGGTTGCCACCATACTGCCTGCTTCATTGAATGTCACATGGGCCTCTGCACACAATGCATGAC